TACAAAATATTTACAAAACTAAACTTTTTCTCTATTTAGCGAATTTCCCATGTAGGGAATAGGCTATTGCCATAGTACTCATGGTAAGACCTTGATCCGGGACCGACGATTTCATTTTTGTTTTGATGTCCCTAGAGGCCAAAAGCACCATCCGTTCAAATTCATATATATTTATACAGGGTGACTTGAAATAAGTTCCCCCCCACTTTTTTCTACATTTCTTAAGATATCAACTACAGATCACATCAGATCAGTAGGTAGAGTAGTAAGTACATAATGTCACTGGGTATACATTTTTGGTATACCATCTTGGATCCGCCATATTGGATACAAAGTTTTTTTTCAAATGTAAAGGTAGGGTTGTGACCCATCATTTCAAACTAGAATTTTACGCTGATTACAATGCCGCAATTAGTTTTTACAAATCTTTGTATCCAATATGGTGGATCAAGATGGCGGCCAAAAATGTATACCCAGTCAAAATGAAGTATTTACTGCTCTACAATGATCTGACGTGGTCCGGAGTTGATATCTTAAGAAATGCATAAAAAAGTAGGGGGGGAAACTCATTTAAAACTCACTCTGTATATGTGTCCGTTATCAAAAATGATCCGATTTTGATTAAATTTGGTTTAAACGTGTAAACCTAAATTTATTTGAACGAGTTCGCGAATCACCATATGATCGGACAGCGGGAACGGGGGTTTATGGGGGTTTTTATGGGGTGAAAATAGGTTTTTCTCATTTTTAACCCTAACACCATCAAATGTAGCAATTCATTTGTAAAATATTTTGTATATTGTTTTGACTCTTGATTCTATAGCTTAAAACAAATAATTTAGTATTTTGAAGTGTCACTATGCAGCTAATGGTTACAGAGAAAGTAAAACAAATTGTAAATTTAAAATGCCTATGTTATTCTTATGGAGAATAAGTAAACTGTTACATTTTGCTTGTTTATGAACATATTTTGATCAAATTTAAAAAATTCATTTATTTCATATTGAACAATTAACATAAAAAACACAACTTTTTACCCTACCTGTTGCAGCAAACTACTCGTTAAACTTACTTAAATAAGGTATAAATGTGATACTTTTAAGGATACATTTTAATGTAAATCCAATCAGGCAAATGGAAATCCGCTTAGTCTGCAGGTTTGTTGTGGCTAGGTTATTTTTTAATAGTCTTGTTAAAGCCATTACCCCATTGAAATTTTTTGCAGCCCACAATGCTTAGTCTTTGGAATTGGTTAAATATAAATATAATATCCCATAACGATGATAAAGCTTTAAAGAGGAAGGCAACTAATATCGCTCATGTGATCATTGCTGGAGCTTGACCACAATCTTTCATATCGCCCCTGCTGCTCGGCCTAGGAGTTCACCTTCACCGACAGTATGGCTCGATTTTGCTGTAAGACATTCTATTGTAACTCGGAGTTTGCTCGAAATACAAGAAGGTCGTCAATTTTGAGAACTCAATAGCTGATGATGTCTCTCCTTCAATAGATGTCGGCGCTTACGTTCAGCATGTTCTCGACAACGCGGATTACAACGTTAAAACGCTTGACGGTAATGAAACTTTTCACGCCATGGGTAGCATTCAGTGCATAACACCAGCAAAATGTGTCAATTCAAGTGCTCCTGTACCACGTTATACAATTCCAAAAGCAGAAAGTGTTCTTCCATCTCATGGCTTTCATCCAGTGACACCTTACCAACGTCCACCTAAGCCTGGGACATATTTAATAGTGTGAGAAGATGTCAGTACTGCCCTTCCCGAACCAAAGTTTTAGATGCTTGTCTTACTGACATCCTATGGTTCGTTAACTACCAACCAAATGACAAACTAAGCCCAGGTTGGAATGGATTCATGGATGCTATTAATATAGTACAACGACCATCATGGTCTTAATTGCACCACGATGCATGGATACTGCACTGGTCACGGATGTACCTACAGCGCTAGTTGCAACGAAGTGGACATCACCAACAATAACATTTAACAGCAGGTAGTTGCATTATAAGTTTCAATGCAATATTAAAATATAATGGTAATAAATTAAAGCAACGATTTATATTTTTCAGATCGGAACAAACAAATTACAGCATTATATTTTACCAATTCCAAAAACTAAGAATAGTGGGTTGCAAGAAATATCAAAATGGTTAATGTCTATAACAAGTCCATTGAGAACAAAAGAGGAAAAGCTTCATTTATTAAATAGCCTATTTTGTAAATTTATATCATTATCATATTTATTATTTTTTGGTTATTAAAAATAAAATGTATGCTTAGAACGTATTAAACTCTTTAATCATATATTACACACATACATGAGTTCAAAACGTTTAATTTGAGACATAAATAAGGCCTTTCAGACAATTACTTCAAAAGATACAGCAAAAAATCTAAATTTCCAAGATGGCGGCAGCTTTTTCAAGATGGCAGCCGTTCCCCAACTGGGATTTCTTGGGACTTTGTGTGGGCCACTCAGGACATTGTTCTGAACGTTTCCACCAATTTTCAGCCTGTTATCAATTTTGTCCGGGTCAAGGCCATGTTTTGTCTAATTGCACTGGACTATTACTGGAGTTGATGATTTGACACATGTCCTCATATTTGCTTGTCAACACCCTTTTCATAGGCAAGTTGAGAGAAACTATGATAATAATGTTGGGTAAAATCACTGAAATTGCAATATTGTTTTAAATATATTTTTTACAGAATTGGGGGTTTACCATTTTGTACAGAGTTAAAAGAACCATAACATACTAAATTAAGTTTAAACTCATTCGAACAGTTTTTGTGAAAATTCTATATTCTGTTATTTTATGGGTTTGTGGTAAAATAACCATAAAAAATCAAAATAAAAAAATCCAAAATGCCTGGAGATAACATGGATTAGTACCCACATATAAAATTTCATCGAAATAACACAACAGGTGTAGTCTGTAGCTCTGTACATGTACGGAGTTAAAAAAAATCACAAGCGGACCCCGAATTATAATAGAGCTACAGTAATTAGCCAGTATTTACTATTCTTGACACTGGTCAAATATGTACTGGTACTTTGTACTTTGTGAATAAGGATATCGGAATTTGATTATTACTATCTAATAAGTAAAGGCCTAGTAAGGAAAGGCCCGCGATTTGCATGTGATACATGATGCGCTATGGAGAGAAAATTGTGCCCCTCTCCACCTACCTTTAGGGGGAATTTTTCTCTTACTTGCACCCCAACAAAACTCAAACCTCTTACGCCCCCAGGTGCCTATAGGATATTAAATGTAGATAATGTTTCAACACATGTTACTCAGAAGGTAAATATTTTTATTGTTAACAAACATGAGATTTTAGTGGTAATTGATAGTTGAAAAATAACAACACTGTTGGCTACAGACTGAATGACAGAGTAAATGTTTCCCACAAGAAGCTGATTATTGTAGTCCGACAGAGTTTCAAACTTTTACCATTGTTCTATTGGTCACTTGGATGAGAATTATAAACAAATTAAATGTACTGTTTGCAACAGCATTGTTTCAGCAAAGTTGGCTATTGTTTTGGGAGGCTATTATAATGTGTCTTTATGTTTCAATATATATTCAAAGCATTTACAGAGTGGTTAGTTACCAAATTTACCTTTTGATGAGGAGTTTTGAGCATACAGTTAGCAACAATTGAGAATTAATTATATTTTGTGATGAAAAGACTTTAACTTGACTTGATTATAAAACTGAAATTCAATACTAAATTTTTTAATTAACTAGTGTACCTGTTGCTCGAGTTCGAGCAATTGCTAAGTATTACAGGCGTTATTTTAAAACTAATAACAGTAATAATTTCCGATTAACTTTAAAAGATTTGACTAAAAGATTATGGATATACTCAAAATGTACATAACAGATTGATATAATCAACATTTGTTGTAAATATCTTATCATTTTTCAAAAGCTGATCTTGTTTTTTAGTGTTTTCTACAAATAGCCTTACTCATGGCCGCATTAGGTTGTCCGTAATAACGATTATAAATTGAAAAGAAAAACAATATTTCTATTTCTTCTCCTTGGTGGTGTTCTATGTCTTTCCTATGTTTCCATAGTTTGCAAATCGGCTCTTTCAATGATTACTAGGAAATGTAGCACAGTGTTAATTCAGTTTTCTTTTTAGTATATTAAACCATCCAGGCTCTCTCGCTTTTTTCCATTGTAATATTTACGCTAACCCAAATTCAAATAGTAAATATTTCATTTCAACCAAGTCAGTAAATGTTTGTAGCAAACTGTTGAATTAGCAAACTTATGACTGTTTACATGTTATTCTTTTTACTTTTAATTTCTGACAACAGCTGGAGTTTCATAACAACGTTTGTTTCCCATGTTAATCTTTTGGAAAAACTATAAACTTCAAAGAGCCTCACTTTCTAATTATTTCCCTAAAAATAAAGATTCTTGCACAACTTCACGTTACGCTCTTTCCAATGATACCAAACACATGTCAATCGGTTCAGTAGTTTTGGAGGCGTAATTGTCACAAAAAACTGCTTGCTGTCATTACCTGCTTGCGTATTAAATAAGTACATAGATAGATTGTTGCTTTAATCAAAGACTATCTTAGCAACCTCAGTAATGCACTCATTATTTTACTGTAAATCAGTGAAGATAAATTGCATCTCTCTTTGTTACAAAAATCAATGTTTCAATGCTTGGAGGTTATTGTTACTTAATCATAAAAAAATAAAATAGGGGGTCTTAATTTTCATTAAAAAGCTAGAGCTGGGGAATTTCCAGATTATGATATAACGCCAAAACATATATATTAAAATAACTAGAGTTGATATTTTATTTTATGTTCAAAATGATTCATACCATGTTAAAATGAATGGAATGAAAAGATTCAAAATTGGTAAAAAATAAACATGTTTTCAAGATTAATTTTATTAAATTAAATTAATACACTTACAAAACAAAAATGATTATATACAGTATGGGTAAAAAAATGATAAAAAAGGGAAATTCAGGATAATTTTTGGGGTTATTTCTTTTTTTATGCAGTAAAATTTTATGTATAAGAATTCAAATAAATATTGGTTATAATTTTATCTCAGTTATAAAATTATTTTTATCAGAGGCTCTTATTCTACAGAATAAATAATAAATTCTTGGGTTTCATCTTGCAGCATATTCAACCAATTAGAATTTACAAGACAAATTCAGTGAAATTTAAATGTTTAAATAATTCAAAATAAAATTAAGAAGCTGAACATTAGTTTATTTCTAAATATCGTAAGATAACTAATCTAAAATGTGTTATTCAACAGAAACAAGCATATTATCGTAAAAAAGTTGGTTTAGTCAAAATTGTTGAAGACAGACTAGGCTTTATAATAATACAACTAATGTTTTTTTGCCCTCTAAACAATCATTAATTGCCATAGCTTGCAGATATAAAGCATTTAAAAGCAAATCATTTCCTCTATTTATATTAGTGAAAGAGTTCATTTAATTTGTTATATCTTCGCACTACTGAATAACAATAGCTTTTGCATGGTTCGGAACTAGGCCAGCTTTTCATGATCATAGAAATTTTAATGACTGCTTTCTGACTAATGATACAGCTGATCTTAGTCAGGACTAATCTACAGTTCCTTTCACGAGTGAAATCCAGCTCGCACATAACCAGCTTCACAAAGTATGTTTACAAACATTGAGTCACTTGGGCGGTAAGCAGTTTTTTCTATCTCCGCACCGGGAGTATAGTAGTTACAGATATCGTTTTGATAGTACAGACCAATCAATTGTTTATTGCACAGCTGACACCAGCAAAAAATAAATTAAAGAACGACCTAAGTAATGAGTCCATTCGGTAAAAGATTTCGATACGACAAACTGGTATTATCTTTACCAGAGCTATTAAAAATGTGTTAACTAAATCGAGAATGCTAGCTGTTCTGCTGTACGCCAGCGCATGAGCACTAGCCTGGGCAAAAAGCGCTACTGTGGATCTTTTTGTTTGGTTTTTCACTCACCAAATGAACTGTACAAATATCATCTCACTCCATCCTAAACATATTATACTCAGATTCAGCTTAAAATATGCACCTAAGTGTGTTTCGCTGTCGCGAAGAATTTATGATTAATTGTATGAAAACAAAATGGAATGTACAAAAACAAATCTTTCTCTGACCAATCATAAGTTCAACTGTACACCTCGATGATCTGTGAAAGACTGACCCAAGTTCCGCTAAACAGAGTGACCACTGCTGCCAACCCGAGAAATATGTTCTTCCAGAGTCGCCACCGCGCCACGCCGAGCCCCTCGTCCCAGAAGGTGAGTGTTTCCAACGCAGCAGGCAATGCTAGCCCCAGCATGGTCAGTCCTACAGCTCCAATTAGACTTATCACTGGAGCTAGTTGAGGTACTAGAATGGCTGAGATGACTGAAACAAAATACATGACCAGAGGACTTCAACTAATTGTTGTCGAGTACCTGTTTTCCCCCTTAACCTTAGCATAGGAACACCCAATCATTTAATACCGGTTACCTTTGACTAATTATAGAACTAGACGTAGAAAATGGATCTTTAGACACTAGCGCGTTCTGTGACAGACTCACACAACTGTGTTCTTTTTAATTAAAAATTTACGACAGCTAGTACATACAGATGGAATGTCTACTTCAGTATCCAAAATCCAGTAGTCAATGGTGTTACACTGTCTCACATGTGTTACGCAGGATGTAGTTCAGATAAAAAATATTGTAAATTTATCCAGCGGGTTTATTTTTTTTTTTATTGCATTGGTTTTAGAAAATTGTTTAAGTTCTATCACCATTGATTATGATATTTTAAGGAATTTTGTGATTACATCTGATGACCTGAGTGAGAATGAGTCCATTTGGGTACAAGAAACATCTTACTCCCCATTCCTTGGCTGAAGATGCTGTAAGTGACAGTGAAATTTTCTAATATGTGTAACATTTTCTCTGTTATGTGGCGGAGCAGATTCATTCAAGTAAGTCTGCTATCCTCACTGAAATCATGAAAACTTCGATGCTTCTGCTGTTTGTTACATACTTTGAAATCCTTGAACTGGTAATAATATATGTTTTTTGGTCCTGTTGCACTGCTTCGATGAAGCTACTAAAAATTCAAGAGAATAATTCCGCAGACTTAAAAACATCTGTGATTATGGAAGGAGAGAAGACTGTGATGTAGCCCTCTTGTCTACTACCAATTGCACACTGTGTTAGACCTATTCAGTTCATCATTATATCTAATGCTTGTTTGTACATTCCACTTTTCCATTTTATGTTCTTAAGCTTTTTAACTACCTACGTGTAACGAAGATGCAAGCTTTGAAAATATTTCTCTCGCAACAAAACATGTAGGATGCTTATTCATCTGATAAATAATCATGGGAAAATTTGACAGATAAAGTAAAAACCTGCTTGCCAAGCTAAAGCTACCAGTTTGTTACAGAAGAGTTATGTGAGGACTTACCGTGTCCAATCACCATAAGGACTCGCATGGTGTAGTAGGCAAAGTCTTGGTTCTCCTTGGATACATGAGACTCCATGGCCTTCCAGACGACCTGCGCAGCAGCCATGATCTGCAGTCCATAGGTACACAGGATAGCGAGGGCTACTAGGATCTTGACTGTCTGGGCCAAGCTAGAGGAACAGAATGAAAGCTTAGAAAACTTTGATAAAAACATGTATTTTGAATTAAGTAAGAGTCCGACTTCAAATTTACATGGGTCAAAACCTTGTTCAGATTAGTAAAGTTTTGGAATGGGCAGATTCCTAAACACTGAATTTTATTGAAAAAGTATAATAACAAAGTACATAGAACATAGTTTTACATATTAGTAGAGGTGTTCCCACTCTGGTTTTCCAAAGAACCTTTACATTGATAGGCGATATTTTTTCTAATGGTGACCATTCCATAGTGTCTAATAAGTGCAAACATCTAATAGATCTGTACACGTTCATGTGCGATATAAGAACACAGCATTATTGAGTCGGAGTAGTTCTCATTGTCCTCTGTAAAAATGAAGTAGACTTATACGTGTAAATATGAAGTAGACTTTTATGCGTAAAAATGAAGTAGACTTATATGTGTAAATATGAAGTAGACTTGAATGCGTAAAAATGAAGTAGACTTATATGTGTAAATATGAAGTAGACTTATATGTGTAAATATAAAGTAGACCTAAATGCGTAAATATGAAGTAGACTTGTATGCGTAAAAATGAAGTAGACTTATATTTGTAAAGATGAAGTAGACTTATATGTGTAATAATGAAGTAGACTTATATGCTATCAGAAACCTTCTCAATGCTGTTTTATAGGTTTATGAAATAGGCTATAATATTAGATGGGCTATACATTTCATTCATTTTTTTATGAAATATTGACCGTATTTTAGGAAGATTTCAGTTCTCAAATATCATTTACCTTTGTATATCACAATATGTGTGTTTTTCTTAAAAAAAAAATTATGTCCCTATAGGGAAGTAGCTATTACCATAGGTGGCACGGTAAACCTAGACCCGGGACTGATATACATTTTCATTTTTTCCTGGTGTATTGTTATTTTTTACATGTTTTATAAAAAAACATTGTTTCTTGCAAACTCTGTTGGAAACCGACCATTTTTGTTACAGCATGGATTTGAAAAATAGGACTCTATTGCAGTCATTGAGACTGTACGTCATCAAGGTATACGTTGCAATAAATTACAAAAATGTTCATAAATCTATACTTATTTAATACGCAAGCAGGATTTTTGTGACAATTACTCCTCCGAAACTACTTAACCGATTGACATGTTTTTGGTGTCATTGGAAAGAGCATAACGTGAAGTTGTGCAGGAAACTTTATTTTTAGGGAAATAATGAGAGAGTGAGGCCCTGGGGCCCTTTAAAGTTTTGTATTTCTCAATAAGATTAACATGGGAAACAAACACTGTTATGAAACTCCAGCTGTTGTCAGAAATTAAAAGTGAGAAGAAGAACATAATATGTTAATTGTAAACAGTCAGTACGTTTACTAATTTAACAGGTTGTTACAAACATTTACTGACTTGGTTGAAATTACTTTTTGAATTTGGGTTGGTGTAAATATTACAATGGAAAAATCAGGAGAGCCTGGATAATTTGATATACTAAAATGGAAACTGAATTAACACTGTGCTGCATTTCTTAGTATTCATTGAAAGAGCCGATTTGCAAACTATGGAAACATAGGAAAGTCATAGAACACCACCAAGGAGAAGAAATAGAAATGGTTTTTTTTTATTTATTATCATTAAAAAACAAGATCAGCTTTAAAAAAATTATAAGATATTTACAAGAAATGTTGATTATATCGATCTGTTATGTAGGCTACATCTTGATTTCCATAATCTTTAAGTCGAATCTTAAAGTTAAAAGAAATTATGACTGTTATTTGTTTTAAAATAAAGCCTGTAATACTTAACAATTGCTCGAATTTGAGCAACAGGTACACTAGTGTGTTTTTAATTACCAAGTTTCTGGGAGATTCAAGGTGATGCTGCCTTCCACCAAGTCCCCGAACTTTACATACCCGAAGAATCCGACCGTCAGGGATAAGAAGACCACGATTATCATGGCGCGGTTCAAAATCCCTGTAATTCCCAAGAAGTGTTTTGGATTTTTCATAGCATTTTCAATTGGTAAAATCTGAAATGAAATATTACTTAAGGTTGAGATATGTTGTGACTTATATTACTTATATTCTGCTTCTTGTTTGAAATTATATTATGTCGGTGGTATTATGTGGATGGAGTAATAGTTGTCTTCCTACATTATTTGAAAAATGTATCTATTTTTAGTTTTTACTCAGTCATAACATAACACAAAGACCTCAAGTCTGTGGAAAATGCATGAAGATGTATTGAACATGTTATATTTTGCTGTAAGATATCCAACTGATGGTCTTTATGAGGCTCAATCAAAGTCAAAGTGAATCCAAATTAAGTCCTTATTAATCATCTTGCTTAATCTGGTTATTGGCCAACGGATTTTATTAAAATCCAAAAGTTTTTTTTTTTTTTTTTTTTTTTTTTTTTTTTTTTTTGACAAAACCATTTATATATCTATGTGGAAAAACAACAAACTATAAATTCAAATGTTGAGAAACGCCAAAAGCATGAACACAAAATGGAAAACACAAGGCAGACAAACTTACCACTCCAATTCCCTCCATTCCAAAGAGTACGGTAGACAGAAATAGTGGAAACTTGGTAATCCCAGCACACAAAGGTCGAGATGAAACTGGCGGGAAGTCGCTGATGGAGTAGTAAAGAGTGGCAGTAACTCCGACAAGCAGGAACATGTTGGCCAGCGCACTGAATGGCACCATGTACTTCATCTGGCGTATTGTACCGACGGGCAGTAGAGGCACTGTGATGAACAATATGTACCATCTCAGACTGTAGCCGTACCCTGTGTAGCTCTCAAAAACCTGTAATGTCAACAGTAAATTACTAAAATGTAGTTTTGTTACATTTTATTTTTTATTGTTTTCAATTTACTATCTGCTATCACACTAATATTTTTGCTTCATTTTACACAAGCCTACAACAACTTTTTGCAATCTTTTTCTCATCTTTTGGGAGCGAGATGGTCTAGTGGTTAAAGCGCGGGTCTTCGGTCCCTGAGGTCCTGGGTTCAAATCGCCACCAAATCATCAATGGATTTTACTATTTAAGACAGTTTAACTGCTCTAACATCTAAATTAAGACCCTTGATAGTTTAGCTAGTTTCAGGGTAGTTTTTCTCTCAACTTCAATGTCAATAAATATGAATAGTAAACACTGTTGTTAGATGTACCTGTATTGCTAATTTATCAGGCAATCCATAGATTAAACAGAAGATGAGGTAGGGTGACAAGTTTATATTAGAACCTAGTCACTCAGACCTTAAGCTGGCTAGAAGATTATATTGTAATTTCTACTAAATTACAGTTTCCAATTAGGTTTTACTGTAAAGCTGGGTTTTCCTAGGCGCGGAGAGCAGAGAGAGGAACGCGGAGAGCGGAAAAAAAATTAACATGGTGTTCCGCTCTGCTTCTAGGAAAACAGTAACATTAAATTACCTAAGACAAGTGGAGACTGCTCTCCGCGTTCCTCTCTCCGCTCTCCAATTCCGCGCCTAGGAAAACCCGGCTTAAAGTAATTTTCTTGGCACTAAAATAGCTTTTCAAAATCTGAAAAATCTGTGGATATAATTCTGCTAAAACATCTCAAATGCTGAAAAGGTAAAAGTAATTGAGAGCAGATTCAATATTCCAAATTTGTGTATAGATTTTGACAAATACTAAAATTTGAATAGCTAGGTACCTGTTTTAGAGTTGCTGACGCCATCAACACATAGATTATACCAGCTCCATAATGCGGCAGCAGAATACAAACGTTGGTAATCTGTCTAAAACATATACAGAGATGGAAATAACTGTGTACTTTAGCAATCAATTTAAGTTTCACAAAGAAAATTGTTAATTGGAAAGCTGTAGGGTAGTTTTGATTTATTTACTTTCTCATGTATTTTTTGGTGCTGAATCTGACTTTGGGGTTCATTTGCATAATACCTAAATGAAACTTAGTTTTGTTACTTTAGTGTTGTCGTTACTCTTTGTGAGATAGTGTATGCCTTATGAAAGGTGTTATCACTTACAATTGGTCACCATTTTGATTCAAAAACCAGTTGACAACTTTCACATGGGGAAGGAATGTATCGTTCTATCAATTGTCAAAGGTTTCACTTTGTGTAGTCGTGGATAATCAGTTAGGGCTGTATGAAAATTTACGCATTTTGAATAGAAGGTTTGAAGTCACTTAACACACATCTATGACTCGACATTAGGATGGATCTAGACATTAAATCTGTATGTTAAGGTTCAGTGGTGTAGTAGTAAAATTTCCAGTGTGGGAACACTCACTATTTTCACAGAAAAATACAGGTCGCTTACCAATATATAGGTTCTTTGGAAAAAGCAGCCCGCACCACTACACCACTTTAAGGTACAAGAACTTTGATTAAAGTAGTTGAATTTAGCATGCTACCAAACGCTGATCTCCACTACATTAACTTTTAACCCAAGTCAAAATGAAAGTTTAATGAGATAGCATCTTTAACATTAACTAAACACGCTACACCAACAACATAAACCCAACCCCCCCCCCCCCTTTGGATGTTGTTGGTGTGGTTTAGCATAAACTATAGCACAAAAAACTCCAAGAGAGAAAATACATTTTTACTTTGACAATACCTCTTGTGAAAGTTCTAAGCACAGGAACGTAGCCTTTGTGGATGTGCAAATACAAGGTTAAAAGGAGCTGCCAACCTCTTAAAAATAAATAGCTCATTGAACTATATGTTCTATTTTCAACAAATTGGCTACAGTCTGTCTATATGATGGAATGTACATCTGGTTGTACATTTGGCTGACCTGCCCAGTTCGGCGTGTCTCTTGAACCTCCCCTTGAGAGCAAACTGCAAGGCTGCCTCGGTAGTCTCAGGGTAGTTGAGGTGACTTTTCTTGGTGTGATAGCACAAAGCCTGCGAGGACTTGACCTTCACAAAACAAATTTATGTAAGCATTTTGAATTGGTGCTTGTAAGATACAAATATTAAGTGTATTAATTGGAAACATGTATTTGGTTGATGATCATACGACATTTCAAAACAAAATATTGCCTACCCAACCTCACCTGATCTCCCTACCTAACCTTAAAGTCAACCACCAGAGGCCAACCTACACGAGCTGTGAGTGGACGTGTTTTAGCGACTCTCACATTTAGGAGATAAAGCTATATTACTGTAGTACTAATGGTAAGACCTAGACCCGGGACGGATTTATTTATTTATTTTTTTTTTTATGTCCCCAGAGGCCAAAAACACTATTCGTTCAAAAACATAATGTCACTTCTTACACAATAACTCAAGTAATAAAAATAGTCTGATTTTTATAAAATTTGTAAAAACCTATAAACCTACGTTTTTTTAAACATAGCAAACCAGTATGATCGGACTAGGAGAGCGGGTGTTTTGAATAGTTTTATGTGGTAATATTGAGTTTTACACTTTTTGACCCTTAAAACATGAAATTTTAAATTTTAAAGTTACGGGTCTTCTATACTTACGAGAATGTAGGTACAATGTGCGCAAATTACTCCAACAAACAATGTTCCTATGAAGCCCACCAACAGTCCCGCGTTCATAAAGGCACTCGGCATTGCCAGCAGACCCGACCCTAGGCTGCTCTTCAGTACGTTCAGGAACGTACTAAAATCTCTGAAACATTACAGTGTGTAAGGAACGATTGACTTTGGATACTGCAAGTCTTCTTATCCTATAGTAAAATCTTAAATCGGGTCCAAGACAGCGGTGTTATGGGTTTGGATCCTGGTCCACTTTTTTTTAACAGTTCAAAGTTCAACCTTTTGTACTTGTATTGGCTCACCCCTTGCTTTGCTGGATATGTTCCATGCACATGCCTCTGTGGCCCATATAGAGACCTCAAAAAGGAATAATAGATTGCTTCATATAAGTGTGCCATACTTTTGAAAATAAAAAATTTATGGGAACTGCACTAATAACATCATACATCATACAGTAATATTTTACCCGTTACACTTACGAGGTTGCGAAATGACTTTGTCTAAGGTTTTCTTCTGTCGCATCAGCAATCTTAAGGTCCGCCTCAAACAGTTCAAATCTAGAACAGAAAATTCTTTCAGCAGCACTAAAATTGACAAAATAATATGAAACTCATAATGGAAATCTTGTCTCTTTTAAATTTACATTATTTGTGCAGTGCCAGGGCTTGATCATTAGAAGTAAAAGGTGAATAATTACCAGGATGTATAGGGTTACATAATGCATACAAACTACATTTAATTTATCAATTTAGCCCTTTGATATCCCTCTCCTCCCATGACCACCGATCGCCGCCACTCTCTATAAAAATACTTTTTAGGAAATTTAACAATTTTATTTTGTTTGCATATTTTTTATGGTGTATTGAAGATTCCATGCCTTAAAAAAATGTTTACAGTTATATTTATTTTTGTTAGAACCCTTTTCTAAACAATAGCATCTTTAAAATATGTCTAATTGGTAGACCCTGTTTGAAACAGTTTATTTTATGGTAAAAAACTATGGCTATCGAGAAAGTACAGAACGTTTCTGTCTGACAGCGACAGGTGCAACTGATTGCATCCTTTCTAGTAAAAATGTTTTTACCTTCACAACGACTGTTTGAGCTTTCACAACAGTTGATAGCCTATGTTGTCCCAGTAATAATGCTTTAAAAATGTGCTACACTTGAGAATCCCACTAGTTTTGAGGTAAGGTCTGAGTACGGTATTTTAGGCCATTAACATAAAAGAAACCATCCATATAAAAACTTATTGTCAAGTGTGTGAAGCGTACGGGAACAACTTTAATTAAAGCTTTTATTTGAATGTGGTGCGTTCAGCTTCACAATTAACCTAACTAAAGGCAATGTCTAAAATTTTTTTTGTATGACAATGCCCGACTTAACACGGCAAATCACGTACAAGATCTCTTTTATTAATTAAAATGGGAGATTTTTCCTAAACCACCCTACAGTCCAGAGGCTCCTAGCGACTGTTATTTATTTCCAAAAAGGAAAGCCTGGTTACAGGTACAGCACTTTAAAGATTAGGAGGAGCTCCAATTGTATGTCAACATAGCTAGGCTAACTTCATATTTTGTTGTGGTGTTTCCATACCAATTGATTGACAAATAAATAAAAGGTTAAAATACCTTGCTAAGCTAGGTTAAGCTCGCATGTGGCAGAATCCTACGACAGAGGTATTTCAAAGCTCGTCCACCACTATGAAGTGCCTTGATTTCTTTAGTGACTACTGCACATAATGTCGTATATTAGTTGCTCTTTCAAACGCATTTAAAACTTATTTTTGTGTAATTTTTTTATTCCAAAATTGTAACTTAATTGCCATACATATACACAATTGGAATATAATTTTGTAAAGTAAGTCAATGGACCACATTGGATACGTATTTAAATCTATGTTAAGGGCCTACTTGTCAATAGACCTACATATAACGGTTACTTACACTGAAACATTTGTTAAAGATTTGAGGCTTACTCGGGTGAGCTCTCTCTTGATGCGAGTAAGTGAAGAGGTTCTTCTATCTTCTGGCACCATTGTCTATGTCAGCTGTAACCATAATCTTACTGAGACCTGTGGAGAAGGAGGAGGAGGTCTAGGTTTTGAAGGTCTAGATTTCAACGAAAACGTATGAAAATTAGTCCCACTAAAGTTTTGATTTCCATTTAATCCTCCTGTTTGTCCTTAACAACTAAAAAGTGTGGTGATAGTGTGTAGACTGTTACAGCCTTGATTTTTACTAGTCAAAATTAAGAATCATATTAAAAATTTAGAAAGGGAGCTGATTACTGTTTTAACTTACAGAAGTGTTATTACTTAGATATGAAACAGAATTTGTTTGTTTAGGAATACTTTACGGAAGAAATAAAAAAAAAACAGATACACACAATTACCAAAGAAAGAGGTTCAAGGCTCAAAAAGTTCACATTATATTTTAACTGAAATTTTTAGTTTTCCTATTAGGTACCTTCTTCTTAATAAAGCCCCACAGGGGGGGGGGGGCAAAACAAAACAGTAAGTTTAAAGTCATGAAATTTTTTTATCTTGTCAAACGCCTGGGTTTCTTTTATTGAGATTGTTGTATACCAGTACCTTCCTATGAAAATATTATTTGGAAATTATAGATTGAATAAAGATTAAAACTTTTCTTACATAATTAGCCACATTAGTTTGTAACATTCCTTAATTCAAAAACCATTGTTCTGTAAAACTTCAAAACTACAGAAAATAATAAATACTCCCTCTAACAAACGTCATTTCATTACGGTACCAAACACAAAATTTCATTTTTTTTTTTTTATTTTAGGAACAATTTTTGCAAACACAACATTTTTTATGAATATCTGCAGGGTTAAAAGTTTATAACAGAATGTTACATTCAATAAAAATTCTCTTCTGAATTCAGTGGTACACAATGCACAAATGTCCCCTCTCTTCCATTCTTCTATTTTAAAACTATTATTTTCCTACAACACGGTTTCTAAGTCAATTCCAAAGAGTATTTCCACCTCGGATTATTACGTTTAAAACTACTGCCTAATCTACCTGGCTTTTTGTTTGGTATCAATGTATTTATTTTAATAAGAAGGATCGGATAGTTTGTAGTAAAAACTAAAAACAAAAGATTGTCACAAAGCGATTTAGGTAGGCCAATATTGGTAAAACTTAGGTGACCAACTTAAACCCACAAATTTAGCTAATTAATAATTATAGACAAATTAAGTTAACTTATATACTAATAAAATATAAAATTGCACATTACCTAATCTTGAATCAGGTATATAAATTGCACATTTTTTACACTTCACATTAAATTGGTTACTAAACAAACTAAAAAATAAAGTATTGGCATTTTTAAGTTGCGCTCAATTTAAAATCTGATAAGATAAGACGAATGCTTGTTGACTTCTTGACGTATTTTACTATCAGATGAAACCCCAATAATACATTACAGTCTATAAATTATTTAATAGAGACACTTTCTACGGATAATCTATATTTGCAAATTCTTTTACAAAAATATTGGTTTTGCCTAGTTCATTATGAGGAATGGTTAAAAGAAAGTAGGAGGTGAGCAAAAGATTTATTTTGCTCCATGAAGTCAACCGTCCCCTGTCCAATAAGATTCTTTTGGATTCTTGGGATATAAGAACAATGCTGAAGCTGTTTGTAAAGTTTGAGCTGTGATCAAGATTACCATGATGTTTGCAAATATGATGCACACACAGTTATAAGGCTGCGGTGATAATCTTGTTGCGATCCTGGGAGCACAGAGTACTGAGAATCAATATAAATTTGAGAATTGAAATCTATCCATCCCAATTTTTTAAGACTGCTAAATTCTCGTGATCCCAGATTTTTCTCCCTTGAAAAAATGAACAGCTCAATCATTGTTTTAGGTTTTTAATGGTTGGTGGTGTCCTGGAACATTATTTTTAATCACTAATTTTAAGTAGCCCTACCATATTGTTGTATCTGTCGATTTGCAACTGGTTCTAAATCTGCACCAATAGAGGGATTCACGTTGTTGAAGGACACAGGTTGCTTAAAAATTACAAAACCTGTTTAAAAATAAATGTTATTTATATGTATCTATTAATAATGGTTTGACTATCTAATATATACAAATTGTTTACAAAAATGAAAAGATATGTTACTAGTTGCTTTGGCTTAATATTTCCATACATTTCACCTGGTAAAAGAGGTTCAGTTATTATCCACTATTGAAAACCCGTGACATTAAATTACCATGTTAGTAGGCCCTATTCACCGTTTGGCTACTAACTGGAAAGAAAGTTATTTATCTCATTTGCCACAATTTTTGGATTATCCAAATGCACATGGTGATACCCTGGTAGGATTACGTGTTTGCTTTTTGGTGAATTGTTCAAAATTATATTAACAGTTTTTTGGTAAAATTCTCCTTTACTATCACTCCTAACAACACCATTTTCAGCTTGAATGGACAACATATCACAGGTAATTTTTTCAGCTAGCTTTAACCAAGACTCGAACGTCAGTCGTCCAAAAGCGTTCAGTTTCAGTTTTGGATCACGAGATAAAAACACTTTACCACTAGGCAACTTACTAGTTCCTCTACTCAGCAAATGTTTACAACCCTCTTTCGTCGTCCACCCCTGAGGACCTCTTCTCGCTTTGAAAAACATATCGAATAACTCTTCCTCGGTGTATTCGGGAGGGTCGGTTTTGTCTTCTAAACTCAACATTTTGTCTATGGTGTTTCTCATCGAATCTATCAACGTGGTCGCATCTTCGCTCATATGATGGCGTGAACAGTCTAGGCTGATGTATTTAGACACTTGGTCAGGATAGAGGGCTGCGTAGACGAAGGAGAGGTTGCTTCCGAACGAGTGTCCCAGTAGAACCAGAGGATCCGACCACTTGAAGTGATGCTTTATCATGTAACGTAGGATACACACAGCGTCCATGTAGTGGTAAGGGAAGCCCGAGGGAATATGTGTCGACTGGCCGTGGCCAGGCAGGTCTATGGCTAACACTGCCTCAACGTCCAACAGTGGTACCAGGGTGTTGAATGTGGCCGCGTTGTCTTGCACCCCATGGATAGCAAACACTGGCTGGACGTCAGGGTTGCCCCACCACTTGCCTAAAACAAGGCATATGTCATTGATAAAAATAAATAATCTTCATTGGCAAGATTACATTTGTGCAACGCTGACATGCCAGGAAGTATATTTTAAGGTGAAGATGAGTGAAGAACAAGTGTAAAGTGAATGAGAGCTTTGTTACTGACTAGGATGACCACCTGGAACTGTTTATTAAAAACCCAATGAAGGATGGTCCAGTTTATTTATAAAAAGCTACTAAATCTTCTCAGGATAGAACGAGGAATCTTTTGATACTAGGCAAGAACTATGTTTACTCAGTTATCTAACAAATGAAAAGATTAAACTTGTGGAAAAGAAAGGATACCGTATGTTTCACTAATAGCTAGTTGTAACAAATAGTTTTGTTGAGACTTTCAATCCAAAACTAGTTCAGAGAAATTAAATATCAAATTATAGTTAACTTACTATTAGAATAAGATGGTGTTGTGTATTGTAAGTTTATATTTGAAATAAATAGTTAAATAAATGTAGGATGAAAAATGAGCCTTATTTTGTCACTAGTTTATTTATATCAATTGAATCACATTTTTGAAAATAACATATGATTAAATAATTAAATGCATAGCATTTGAAACATAGAGATACAACAGTTTCTTCCCCACTAAATTTGATTCATAAGTCCAGTCTTTTCCGTTGCTTTCTCGTTCTGGCTGATTTGCGAGGAACATCTGTTCAAGCATTGTCATCTGTTTGAGGATTATTATGTTCACTGGGTTGAAGCCTGATTTCTTACAAAGTCAACAGATTGTCTTTTGGAATCAAGACTGCACCCAGCATATTTCAAAAAGTAATGGAACAAGTTCTACAAGACCTTCCAGGTGTCAGCTCTTACTTTGACGACATAATTGTCTACGGTTCAACTTTGGATGAATGTTTCAACAACCTTGTAGCTTGTCTGGAGCGACTTCAAACCAACAATCTTCACCTCAACAGAAATAAATGCACATTCTTCCAAGAAAGCATCACATACTTAGGATATGTTATTGAAAACAACAAGATATCCAAGTCTCCAGCAAAAGTGTCAAATATCCTCAATATTCAAAGACCAAATTCAGTAGAGGAAGTGAGAAAGTTTCTGGGACTTGTAACTTATTATTCAAAATTCATTCCAGCAGCTTCTACCATAACTTACCCTCTACGCCAGTTACTCATCAAGAATAAACCATTCAACTGGACAAAAGATTGTGAGAAAGCGTTCATCAACATCAAGAAGGAAATAGCCTCAGATAGAGTGGTAGTTCCTTTTGACCCGGACCTTCCAGTATCCGTAGCCTGCGATGCAAGCCCACATGAGATCTCAGGAGTAATATCACACATTATCAATGGAGAAGAAAGGCCCATTGCATTTGTCTCCCGATCACTTTCAAAATCAGAGTCCCAATACAGCCAACTTGATCGCGAAGCACTCGCTATTGTATTTTCTATTGGAAAATTTTTCAACTACCTCTATGGAAGAAAGTTTGAATTGATCACAGATAACCAACCACTCACACGAATATTTCACCCAAAGAATGTTCCTCCAATGACAGCTGGTCGACTTTTACGCTATGCAGTTTTCCTCAGAGGATTTGAATACAACATCAAACATCGGAAAGCAGAACAACACCAAAATGTAGACTTTCTATCCAGGACTTTTCAAACAACGGAACATCGTGGTATCGACACAGCACTGAATAAAGAAGAAGATGAAATAGAACAGAATTCAATCCTTCAAATCTCATCAATCAACATCACGAGTGATTCAATTTCAAAAGAAACTGCGTACGATCCAGGAATGAAAGATCTTATGAAACAAATAAAAGAAGGTGCAAATGATCCAATCTACTCAACCAATCAAGGAATTGTATTCAGAGGAGAACGTGTATACATTCCAAGATCACTACGCTCTCATGTTTTAGAAGAGCTTCATGCAACACACATAGGAATGGTAAGAATGAAGCGACTCGCAAGACTCCACTGTTATTGGCCCGGAATTGACAAAGACATTGAAAATAAAGTTCGATCATGTGCAGCTTGCGCTTTACAGTCAAAACAGCCAACAAAAGTTTTTCACCCTTGGGAAATCCCTAAGGAAAACTTTGAAAGAGTTCACATGGACTACGCAGGACCATTTAATGGACACCATTTCCTGCAAAATCTAAATGGCCTGAGGTTCGAATAACCAAAAACGCACCATCCACAGCTACGACAATAGAATTTCTAAATGATATCTTCTCTACACATGGATATCCTGCTATACTAGTTTCTGATAATGCCACTATTTTTACTAGCCAAGAATTTACAGACTTTTGCTGACAAAGAGGCATATTTCAAAAATGTATAGCCCCAGGACACCCAGCAACAAACGGGTTAGCGGAATGCTATGTGCAAACGTTAAAGACATCTTTGAAAAATTGTGCTGAAGATCCTCGAAAGAATATTAAATCACAAATTCAAGACATACTGTTTCGCTACCGAGCTGTACCTCTACAATGCGGACAATCACCGGCTGAACTGTATTTAAATCGAAAGATCAGAACAAAACTAGATGCTCTCAATCTTGGAGCTTTGCACTACAAAGTCAAACTGGACAACGGTTACATTGGCAAGAGACACATCTATCAGTTGAAGAGAACATCAGTGCCAGAAACAAAAGACAAAACACACTCCAGCTCATCTCCTAAAGAAAATACCAGTTCGCAACAACAGAACGTGACATTCAAGGACAATGATCTGGAAAATATAGAACAATTTTGAAAATAACATATGATTAAATAATTAAATGCATAGCATTTGAAACATAGAGATACAACAGATGGTCTATAGTTTTTTCATAGCTAAACGTGGCCAAATCATTCGTGATTCTGTTGATGAACTGTAATGTAGGCCTACACTCTATATCTAGGAATGTTGGAGAGTCGGTGGCTCAAGCGTCAACGACTTCGGGCCCAGGCAGCAATATCGTGAGTTTGGATTGTGGTCAGTGCCACTTTTTATCGTATAGATCACCCTTGTTCTGTACCGGCTCACCCCGTTTCGCTGGATACGTTCAACGCACACATCTGTAGTCTATGTAGACGAGCAAATGAAGGGTTAAAAGAGACCGCCAACATCTTTAAAATACGAAAAAATTAGTTGACCAATCAAAATAGTATCTTACCAGCAATGTGACCCCAAGCTGCAGGTATGTTTATCTCTTTTACAGAAAGTGTATGTCTGTTATTCTTCATGACATTGTTCAGATGAATCTGAGTCTGAAGTCTCCAAGATGATATTTTCCATCCTTCTGACAGACACCTCTGACAAAGAACCAAATTACCAAGCTTCAGCATTTTTCTGCAAAAAGATTGATTACCACTTAGTTCTATTAGTGAGGAGAATTAATCAAATAATAAATCACTACATTTGATGCCGACATAAACCAAGGTCACAAACATTCATGCTCTAAATAATGTACCAAAATCTCTTACCCAACTTTTTAAAATCATGATAATGTTTTGGCCAAATACATCAATAATGTGAACAAATCCTAAATTCATAAAACATCTATGACAAAAACTGTACCGGTAGCTAACATTTGACTAATAGTGTGTCCTATTCATGTTTTTCTTCTTAAAATCATGTACATTCTACCCAGGTTTTGCATCTTCATCCAACATTATGGTCATTACATTAAACTTTATTTGGAACGGTAGTTTCATGATACCTAATAACTTAGTCATATTTACTAAAATAAATGGTACCAGTAACTTACTGTTATATTTATTAACAACTGATGGATTATAAACTGGTCTAAGGAATAGCAAAATTAAGTTCTTGACGAAGAAGTAAGTTTGGGTGGATTGTGTGAGGGTTGTTGTATTTTCACGATCTAATCAACTCAAGACCAATTTCAATATGTTTAGGCTAGGCTACATAAAAAGTAAGATCACAACTCGACAGCAAAACTTTGGTTTCCGACTTCATCATAAATAAGGTACGGTAGGCCTACTGTTTGGTTTTCGATTAGGCGACTGATTGTTATCAATCAAATCGATGACTTACTTTTATGTTTGATAATACAACAAAATCAGATATCAAAGTTGATACCAAAGTTTATCAAGGCATAACTTAGTTAAACAACAGGGCAAAATTCCTCCAGATCTAAAGTAATTTAGGCATAAAAAAGATTAGGTTAAGTAAAGTACAGGGAGCAAACATCTAAAAACGTCAAGATTAAACCATAGAGAAGTAAGGTAGGCTTACCGGTACCCTAAACTTACAGCTAGGAAACACGTTTGTGGGACGAATGTGAGCTTCCAGCCCTGGAATGTTGTGCCATAAATATAGCCTATTTGTAACAAGCAAGGTTGAGCCCGAGTGATGAGCACCAGCACTGTGCAGAAATTCCTACCACACAGGGTCTTCCTCCTCCATGAGTATTTATAGGCATGCACTGTGGGTGCGGTACTCCCTGGTGTGGATTAACGTCCCGCACGAGTGAGTACTACGACCATCCGCAGTACTATCCTGATCATAGAACAATTCGTATATACCAAGAAAAAATGTGGCTCGGATTCCACTATAAACTGTAGGTCCCTTAGTTGCCATTAGCTGTATGGGCTATTAATTAACAGCTGTGTCTAAGGGATACTGTTAATACTGTTCAATGAAATGGCGACCATACCATAGTAGGTATTTTAAGCCAAGTATGAATGGATATGAGTGTGGGATGAGTGGCGCGATCTTGTAGTCTTGTTAGTGACTAAGGCCGACATTCCTTAGACACATTCCTTAGAATGTCGGCCTTAGTCACTAACAAGACTACAAGATCGTGCCACTCATCATACACTCATCTTCATTCATACTTGGCTTAAAATACCTACTATGTATGGTCGCCATTTCAATTGAACAGTATTAACAGTAGCCCTATTTAGTAAGGTTATGAAGGTTAGGGGGGGGGGCGGTGTTGGAATTTTCTTGGTCCTAGACACATATTGATAGACACCACTTTAGTGTACCACATTTAATGTTTCCTCCGTTCCTTGCTCCTCTGGAGTTTAACTAGACTAGGTAAAACCTTTCCAAAAAAATGTCCTACAAAATTTAAACTTGTTTAATAGTCTACAAGGAATAGGGTAGCCTATATAGGAAGGTTTTAAATTGAAATATATAATTAGCTAGGGGTGAAAATGTAACAAAAAGATACAGCCTAGTCGGGCTCCAGTCTGGAAATAAACAGAATAAGCCTAAGCCTAGTCTATGATTTACTTACGTAACTTAGGCCTATTCGTCCAATAAAGTGATTTCTCACAGATTATCAGTTAGCTTATCAGTTTCACTAAGTATAAAGCATTATTGACAAAAATCATAGTCACTTCGCAATAACTTGTGATATGCCTAACTAGTAGTTGTAGTTTAAAATGTTAATAAAATAAAAAACAAAACCTGTTATTGGAATAAGGTTATCTTGTTTTAATCAAATGCCAAACGGAAAACGGACGGACAGTGCTCTCCGTCGCTGGAGAGCACAAGTTCACATGTACAGAAACCTTATACTGACGTCATAAATATCGAATGTATATATCGATTGTACCGGGTGGTTACGGGTTTTTCTTCGGAAGGTAAGTATCGGTTGCACCGAATAAGTAAAGGGTTTTTTTTTGTAACACTTTATTTGACGAATTGAATACTCTCGGTAGTTTATCCATTATAAATCAAATAGTAGAAATACAATAATATTCGTTACAGGCTGGGAATAAAATAATTACTGATACTTTGGATTGAACATCCAAGATGTTTGCAATTGTTTTCGTATTTACCTGACTAATAAAATAAAAACTTGAGTTCACAGGACGTTGAATACTAAGAATTTATTTCATAGCATCCACAATAATACAATAACTGTAATTAAAGTAGACGAATTACAGGAATTATTGTCGATTCTAGAAGAGAGTGAAATAATAATTGTAACTTTGACATGTTAACGTTATGTTAATGTTTGGGAATGATTTACTAACAAATATTGCCCATCAGTGTAAGGTGACAATTTAAGAAGCCCAAGAGGACTGTTTTAATATATAATTATTTTGTAATAATTACTGTAAATAAATTCTTAGTATTCAACGTCCTGTGAACTCAAGTTTTTATTTTATAAGTCAGGTAAATACGAAAACAATTGCAAACATCTTGGATGTTCAATCCAAAGTATCAGTAATTATTTTATTTCCAGCCTGTAACGAATATTATTGTATTTCTACTATTTGATTTATAATGGATAAACTACCGAGAGTATTCAATTCGTCAAATAAAGTGTTAAAAAAAACCCCTTTACTTATTCGGTGCAACCGATACTTACCTTCCGAAGAAAAACCCGTAACCACCCGGTACAATCGATATATACATTCGATATTTATGACGTCAGTATAAGGTTTCTGTACATGTGAACTTGTGCTCTCCGCTGTCGCTGTCTGCTGTTGCTGCAGCAGCTGTGTTGTTGTAATGTTTTGTCTGTTAGTTGACAGTTGATGGGATGGATAAGTCTTCAAGCAAAACGGCAGGGAAAAACGAGCAATGATTATAGTTCATGGATATTTTGCTTAAAAGTTAGTATACGTCTACAGTCAATGGTTAGCGGCCTTTTTAGCGAATTTCCTTTATAGGGAATAAGCTATTACCGTAGTACTCATGGTAAGACCTGGACCAGGGACCGATTTTTTTTTCGTTTTGAGGTCCCTAGAGGCCAAAAACACCATCCGTTTGAATTCATATATATATATATATTTATATATGTGTCCGTTAGCGCGATAACTCGAGCAAAAACGATCCGATTTTGATGAAATTTGGTACAAACGTGTAAATCTACGTTTATTCGAACGAGTTCGCGAACCAGCATGATCGGACCATGGGAACGGGGGTTTATGGGGGGTTTTATGGGGTAAAAAAGGGTTTTTCCCACTTTTGACTCAAAAAACATAAAATTTTGCAATTTCTTTCCAAACTATTTTGTAGAGCTTAAAAAACAAATAATTTAGTATATTGAAGCGTTAAAATGCACCTAATGGTTACGGAGAAAATTTCAAAAAATTGTAAATTTAAAATTCCCATGTTATTCTTACGGAGAATAAGTAAACTGTTGTTGTTTGCTTGTTTATTAACATTTTTTGACCAAATTTGGAAAATTTTTTTATTTCTTACTAACTATTAACATTTTACATAAAAAAAAAGAAAAAAAACACTTTTAAGTATGTGTTAAACTGATTCTATTTAAATAGGGAATAAATGTGATATTTTTAAGGAGATGTACATTTTGGTGTAAATCTAATCAGGCAAATGGAAATTCGCTTAGTCTGCAGGTTTGCTGCGGCGGGGTATTTACAATTACAATAGTAAATAAATTAAGTGTTGAACATAAGGGCAGAACCATAGACAAAAGTATGTTTTATCTATGACAGAATGTTCAAATGTTGGTGAATATCCTAGTTTACTTTTTTGGTTGGTATCAATGTCAACATTATTACAGTAGTTTAGAGTATGATTCAATAATAATAACGATATTATTCAACCTTACGTCCCAAAAAGATGTTCTCTAATAATTAATTAAACCGATTCATGTGGTTAGAAAGCAGTACCATTGACTATACACTTCTACGGTAGAGGTGTATAGTCAATCGCAGTACATACTTTAAAACACTTTTAATTGAAATGGCAAACATACGACGGCGTAGAAGGGCCAAGGAGTACCGGAAAATTTTTTTTGTAAAATTTTGACTTTTATTGTCAAAATTTTGACATTTAATCTCAAAATTTTGACTTTGAATCTCAACATTTTGACTTTTATTCTCAAAATTTTGACTTTTGATCTAAAAATTTTGACTTTTGATCTAAAAATGTTTACTTTTATTCTCAAAATTTTGACTTTCTATCTCAAAATTTTGACTTTTAATCTCAAATATGTAGTTATTTTTTACAAGTACAACCAACCGAGACAGTGTGACCAACATAACAGCATAAGCGGCAATCTTGGATGGCACGCTTTTCTCTTATGCTCAACCAGATAGTACGGTAGTGACTCCAGTCTATCTATTCATCTCTATGGTTATAGTAGGCCTACTTACGGAGTTTGGTGGTAATTTAACACTCAAAACCAGATTATTTAAACACAGTAATTGAGCTCCAGTTGTAAAAGCGCTTGCAATAAATACGTTGTAGAATTCAATGAATTTTGGGATAGAAGTCAACATTTTGACATTTTAGGTCAAAACTTTGAGAATATAAGTAAAAATTTTGAGATTAAAATCCAAGTTTTTGAGATTAGAAGTCAGAATTTTACAAAAAAAATATTACTCCATGGCCCTTCTAAAAGCCGTACAAACATGTAGATTCTACAGTTACTGTAATAATATTGCTCAGGGTGTCCCTATAAGAATGTATAGTACAAATAATAATTACGGAGTAGATTTTTGGGTCAAAATAAAAAAATTAAGAGTATCATTTTTGCTAAAAAATAACCTCATTAGCGAGATATCCATTATTATGTTTTTTGTGGCTTTTTATGAATAGATTAAGAAATATATTGTAGGCTAACTAATGTTATTTGATGAATAAAGATTTTATTTGAACTGGTTATGATTTTACATGTGGTAGGAGCCACCGCTTTTTATCAGTAGGCTACAGTTCATCCCACGATTACCAAAAAAATACTAGAAATTTCTAGTAATCGTGGTTCATCCTAAGGCTGTACCGGCTCACCTTTGCTTTGTTGGATACCTTCCAGGCACATTCCTCTGTGGCCAATGCGGACAGGCATAAGAAAAAAGGCTGCCAACCTTTAAAAAATATTTGAAAAATGGTATTCTCTGTTTTGGTCATCAAAACATTGTGATCTAACATTTTTTGCGATTTATATATTTATTTCAACTGCAATCACCATTTTATTCCACTGTGTCATTCCGGATTCCGGGTTTCTCTAAAATTTTCTAAATCATGCTTAAATAATATATTTAAACAACTTATCTTAAATAAATAAAACTTCTAAAGAACAACAACATATCTAACTAATATAGGCTAAATAAAACTCAGACTATTTAAGTTTTAAATGTTTTATTATAAAATCTCTTTAAAAAACAACACACTAACAAGTTGGTCCTATTTAACACCTTACATAATAATACTATAGCCTCCTCTAATACAAGGGTATGCAAACAAAGATTGTCCAGAAATCCATTATTAATTATTTAATACAAAAGCTTTGTTCAGGGGCTGTGTGTGGCACTTTTGTTCAGTAGCGGCATTGGATTAGAGGAGACCTATATTGTACTCAATAATTTTTACTGACCAAATCTAAAAAATAAAAAGATAACATAGAAAGACAAGTGTTTGTAAAAAATGTCAATAAAACACATTACACTCATTCAGGTACAGTAACAAAAGCAAAACCTTGAAAACATAACAACTCAACTAAAATTATAAGAACAAGAAGTTCAATAGTAAGAACACCTAATAAAAACAACGTTTTAATAAATATATACATCTAAATTGTAAGTTACTGATATAGCATGTAAAATATAAACCAAAACTGATAAGAACTATTTCTGGATATACAGTACATCTTGTACAAGCGAAGATAACAAAAAATTATTACTCAAGTAGATAGTTTATAACTATTATTCAGTGGCGGATCTAGAGCAGTCACAAAGGGGGGGCGAACCAGGGAGTCAGGGGCGGTTCGGGGGTACCCCTCCGAAAAATGTGTGTAAACTAAGTCTCCTAAATCACAGTTTTTTACCATTTCTTTGTCCAAAGTTAGTGTGACAAATTATTTTACGCAATTTGTATGCACTACTGTATTACATGCAGTAAAAAATATATGTATATGTATGCCCGAGGGGGGGGCGGTCGCCCCCCTCGCCCCCCCTCTGGATCCGCCACTGCTATTATTATTGTTCATGTTTGCTAAACTTTGTTCATTGTTGAATGCTTTTGTTGTATTGGTGTTTTGACAAATGAACTCAATAAAGGTAAGAAATAATTACTATACGATAAACTAACCAGCTTAATGTTTTTTTGTATCTGCCTCAATACAGGTGACATTAAATCTTTTAACATTGCATTAGCAAATTGTGTAAAATTAAATTAATCTCATTCAAAAGTAATGAATAGGACAACCAATTGCAAACTCTGTATGATACTATATATACACAAAGGGGGCCATCAAAAAGTGTTATTTTAATCTGAGAAGAATATTATATGTCAATATTATCATAAAGCATATGATAATCAAGCATATTAAAATATGTGGGCCTAGCCTAAATTTTTAAATTTTAAATAATTAAATCATGGAACCCAAAATTTAATATTATAACAAAAACAGAACTACTTGCAGCAATTCAGCAGCTTTTGTCCAAATCTATCTGTTTGGACTTTTGTTGATTTTGACCACACAGAATAACATTAATAGAGAAGAAGCGAATAGAGAAGAACTATATTTTTTTTTAATTTAGACAACCACACAAATAAGCAAATAAGCTAGAAAAATTTTTGTCCACAGCTGCATTTGATTTCCTTTAGTGTTTATTAAAGTTATATGTTCCTGTAATACAGTTTATCAGCATCCTACTTTGTCAAACATCCATGTTCATCCTGCAGTGTGCTTTGGTCTTCGAGGATGAAGTCTATGCCTAGTTGTATTTACTGTAATACTGTTTAGAATGTATACAAATTAATGTATATAACACTGCTGTACTAAATTTTCTAAGTAAGTATTTGCTGCTTATGCATATGAAATGTACCGGTATCCTCTTTCAATCTGCAACTAAAAGGTTCATTTTCGTTTTCGATCATACAACTGTTTGGTTCAAAAAAGGTGTCCAAAGAGAGGTTGTCCACTGATGTATGAATATTTCAAGAATATTCTTCAATAAGTCAGTTTCCATTCCAAGATACTTAGTTATAACCGCTACCGTACACATCTCTTACCATGTCACATTCATAATAAGCAACAAAAATAGGTAGAAATTCATTGTCTTGGTATTTTACATGAACTGCTCTTCTACAAATAATACGAGCAATTTTGTCTTCTCCATCACCAGTTGTAGTGTCAAATCCTTCTGGTGGAATAAGCATACTACTAGTACCTCTTGTATGTCTATACTCAAGAACTTTGCAGATGATAAAAGCTCGGTTAGTTCCTGTAAAATAATACAATCCGATGATATTGTTTTCCAAACAAGAGTTTGGTTCTGTATACCCTTTCTTAAGATCAAATTGAGGCTACCTCTGACCACAGGGGTAAAAAACACAATTAAATGATAGGGTCTGAAATTCAATTACTAACACTATGTGAGTTAGTGAGTTTTACACATGTGGCAGTATATTTGACATTCCAGATTTCCTGTTATACAGGGTGAGTTTCTACTGACCGTGTTAACTTCGCCAGTAGGTTCTACTCACTAAAAGGAACAAAAAAGTTCATATAAACCCATGTCCGATTTTCAACCGTTTGGCTGTAATAGGGGATTTTGTGTTTTTCTTATTTTATTAGACTTTGCTCCACAATTTATGTAATAAAAACTTAACCAATTACTTTAGAGAGTTATACTTAAAATCGTTGGAAAGAATATTAAATTTGCTATAAATCAAAGGTTTCATTCAAGAATTATACTATTACATAGTCCACGTTATATCCAAAATAAAGTAAAAATGTCATTAAATTAATTAATTACGATAATTTTCATGAGCCCACTTTGATACATAAACCTTCATCTATGCAATGTTGAAATGCATAAAAAACTTGGCCATTTAATAATCTTTCAAATGATATGCTATTCAATACTATTATTGATATAAACCAGTGAGAAATTACTAATAAACTACAATAAAACACGGTCTACAGATTTTGTTTTGACACAGTTTTTACTGTTAATAATAATTACTGTATTCATCATGTTGGCATAGGCCTACTCTTGATTGGTAAAAGGCTCCATAGTTTAATAAATGTTGAAAAACTCTTAATTGACTTGGAAATATAAAGTTTTTTTTTTTTTTTTACATAAAAAAATATAAATATAAAGTATATAATATAATATAAAGGAAATATAAAGTTAAAACAGCAAATTACTCAACAAGGTATGTTTAAGCAGCTGAGTTATCTAGCTATATATAGATGACAAATCAATAAAAGCTGACTTAATCAAGCACAAGGTAAAACTAATTATACAGCATTTAAGAATCAAACACACTACCTCTTTGAAAATGTCAAAAACCTTGAGTTTATACATTTTATTAATTCAGATAATTTTAATAAATATTTAAAAGTTAAAATAATGTACAAATCTTATCAGATTGTTCAATAAAATACAACATGGAGTATACAGTAATTATTATCAACAGTAAAACTGTGCAAAAACAAAATCTGTAAACCGTGTTTTACTGTAGTTTATTAGTAATTTCTCACTGGTTTATATCAATAATAGTATTGAATAGCATATCATTTGAAAGATTATTAAATGACCAAGTTTTTTATGCATTTCAACATTGCATAAATGCAGGTTTATGTATCAAAGTGGGCAGGGCCGGTTCTAGGAATTTTTCAGAGTTAAGCGAACACCCGAATCAGCGCCACTTAGAATCCCCCCCCCCCCCCACCACCCCACCCTCAACCCATGAAAATTACTTAACTCTATTTGTGAATTTTTTCCCAAAGATTTTGGGAAGAACTTTTTATAAGTTTAGGTTAGAAGAATACTTGCAATAAAATACTGTTTATTATTCCCAGGAATTTAACATTTTTACACTTTTACTCATCGTATAAACTTTAGCAAAACCAAGGCTACACTAAAAAAAACAGGCCGTAATGCTCGTCAAGCATGACGTCACGATAGAAGACGGCAATGACGTAATGTTTGCCGTTTGTGATCAGCTGCTTGTTTTAATCTTTCCTTAGAAAATAAATAAATAAATACCTACGTCATTGCCGTCTTCTATCGTGACGCCATGCTTGACGAGCATCACGGGCACGGCCTAAGTTAACAATTTATTTCTAAATGTGAAAACAATTTTTACGCCACACTACACTATTTTGACGAACTTCCCACACAAGGATTTAGTCCAGAAAACAGCTGTTTGCCGCCAGCTTAATCAAATGGGGTTTCATTGCGTACTACCATAGACTAACCAACACAAGTAGACTTCTCATCCCATTGTAAATTTTGAAGCACGTTTTTCGTGTCTAGTTCATGTACGTGACACAAAGGCGCTAGTGTCGATGAAACTTTGTTTCCATTATTTTAGGGTTAATTTCTTGATTTTTGCTTTACTATTTGGTTATAACTAGGGGACAAGTTATTGTTTATGATTAGATCGTATTATTTGGTTAAACGAGGTTTTAAATGTCTGTAATAACGGGAAACAAATTGTAAACAAAACACGATCCCTACATAAACCGTACATGAACTAACAATTAAATTGTCTTCAGCTGTTCCATAAGGATGAGAAATCTACTAAGGGAGTATGTTTTATCTATGGTACTACGTTGTTGTATTAATAGTCATAGGTACCGTACTACTGTACTGTGATGAGTATTACCGATCACCATTCAGCTGATTACACTGTATTTGGGTGACAATGAGTGGTTATAAACAAAAACATAACCTCTCTTAAAGGTTATGACCATGGTTATGACTAGTGATTTTTAGTCCTTTAGTTGGTGGTAATATGTAAGGATTTGTACAGATTTTAGTAGTATGGCGTAAACTATCATACGTAACTCGTCCAAAATGTGTTAACCGGACTCGTATGGTAATCCCGTACTCGACCGTCTCGCACGGAAACGACCACACTCGTCCGGTAAACACTTATTTTCAGGACTAGTAAAAGTAACGTAATAAACTATTACAGGATAACTTGGATACGATATAAGTTAAAGCCTATTACAATGAAAAACTGGTGTAGATAGATGACAAGAGAGGAATTTTTAATTGAACACATTAAACACGAAGAAAACATGAAATTTATTACCTTGACAAAAAGAATACAAAATTATCAATTTGAACAGTTCAAAAGCTCTTAGCAGTTAAAAATTAATTTTCCTAGCTTTGATGTTGGCAAATTCTTTAATTGCAGAGTTGGTATCAATCTGTTTCAGAACATCAGAATGTGGTTCAGAACATGAGTCATGAAATGAAACCCACAGGCTGTAGTACCCCGCGCTGTAGTACGCTGCCGACTGCCGAGCGTCAGCTCACTACAAATCGAAACTACAAATGGCATTAAGTCCTTGAGTTGTAGTGCTGTACAAATATACGCATTTTTCATATGCTGTTGGTACAAACAGAATAAATGCCTTTATTGTGGTGCTTTGAATACTTGAACTCTGAGCGAAAATAAACAAAATTACGTTGTTCACTCAAAAACAAAATTTTCTGTTGGCGCCATATGCGGCCGCTTAGTTCGCGTATGGGTTAAACTGGCCCTGAAAGTGGGCTCATGAACATTTTCGTAATTAATTAATTTAATGACATTTTTACTTTATTTTGGATATAACGTGGACTATGTAAGGGTATAATTGTTGAATGAAACCTTTAATTTATAGCAAATTTAATATTCTTTCCAATGATTTTAACTATAACTCTCTACAGTAATTGGTTAAGTTTTTATGACATAAATTGTGGAGCAAAGTCCAATAAAATAAGAAAAACACAAAATCCCCTATTACAGCCAAACGGTTGAAAACCGGACATGGGTTTATAGGACCTTTTTTGTTCCTTGTAGTGAGTAGAACCTTCTGGCGAAGTTAACACGCTATGTAGAAACTCACCCTTACAGTTAAAAATATATGAAGACTTGGGTTAATCAAGGCCAATGGGAAACATACATCAACTCAATTCAATTCCATGGTGAGGTAGCCTCTGGATCACTAAATTTAAACTAAATGGTTTAAGTTACCTGGCTTCGTCAAGTGGTCCTGCTTCAGTATTACACTACTATAGTTTCGGACTTGAAAATAAGTCCATCTTCAGGTTAACAAAAACCAGGTTAACATAGGTCATCTAACCAATTTGGTTAGATTCGTCGATACACTTAAAACACATACACGAACACGAAAAAAACACAAAAAACGAATATAATACTGTAAAAACTGGCCAGTGTACTCATCTCAACAACTCTCATCAACTCATCTTCCGGCGTCGCCACACGTGTCCCCCGTGATTAATTACACTGGCCAGTTTTTACAGTATTATATTCGTTTTTTGTGTTTTTTTTTGTGTTCGTGTATGTGTTTTAAGTGTATCGACGAATCTAACCAAATTGGTTAGATGACCTATTGATGTTTTTGTTAACCTGAAGATGGACTTATTTTCAAGTCCGAAACTATAGTAGTGTAATACTGAAGCAGGACCACTTGACGAAGCCAGGTAACTTAAACCATTTAGCTTAAATTTAGTGATCCAGAGGCTACCTCACCATGGAATTGAATTGAGTTGATGTATGTTTCCCATTGGCCTTGATTAACCCAATAATTTAAAAACTTTTAAACAAAAATAAAAACAAGTTGTTCAAGTATGTCAAGTGAACTTCTGACAAAATATGAAAAGTGTTGCAATAATATGGGATGACAAAATCAAAATCAAAGATATATTTTGATTTATCTTGACTGACACCCACCCAGTTAAAGTCAAGATACCTCTGTATTCAAAGTTCACATTAAATGTAGCTGCAAAATGTGTTATGAGGGTGAAACAAGAAAAACATTATCTACCAGGATTAGAGAACATATTCACCACACCAAATCTGTGACGAGCATTCTACCATAGCCAGCCACTCCACAGAACTTAAACACTCCAAAGACTTTGAGAGCGTGAAACAGTGGCGACGATAAGAGACCGCAGGCCCACCGCAAGTTTGTTCTCTAAGCCCCCCTCTCCAAAGAATCTTTAAAAACATCATCACATGTATAACCCACCTAAACTTGCACTTCAGCATGACACGGCATCTCCCAAGGCACCGAGGCGTCATCGTCTTCCAAGATCGCGGCAAAATCGTGAATACTTTCCGTAGTCATTGAAGAAACATTATCATAGTCTACCACGATTGCAACCAAACCTATGACATCATCAGATAACAACATCGTTGCCACCCCACGTTCATCATCGCTCTACTTAGGTTGGTAGATGTAATCGGTCACGTAATAGTGTCAGTTTAGCTGTTATAAACTACTTTTCCTTTAGTGTTTATTTTTAAAAGTGTTTTCTTCAAGCAGCATTTTATGACCCTCAAAATATGCTACATAGGCCTATTGGTTTGATATGATCAAATGTTTTGTTAAATGTGTTTTTTATCTTAAAAACAAATAACTACCCTATAACATACTTGAACACTTATTAATTTACTAAATATAATATGCATAAAGCTAGAAAATGGCTGGACTGCTTCCCTTCTAAGGTTTTATTATTACTGTATTTAATTTTTGACGTCAAGTCAATATATAACAAGATGAATTTGTTTTCTAAATTCATATGTTTTTGCGGGGCATTGAGCCGCACAGGTTCACTAGTATATTGTAAATTCTCATATATATATATTGTTATGATAGGGTACCCGTGTGGCTGACCATAAGACTACGTACAGATCAATCATAGGTGTTATTAATTTAAAAAATATCTTATATTTACCGTTCCCTCTATTTGCATGACAGTTGGCGTAGTCTGCGATGCCTGAGAAACTGGTTCCTCTGCCATATCTGCATCTCACAACCCTCCGCCAGTCCAGGTTGTCTTCAACAATCGAATCAACATTGCTCGGATGGGTTGCATGAAACATCTTGCCCGTCAGCTCTACATGACGGATCCCATAACGGCTCGAGTATTCCTCTTTTGTTAGCTCATACATTGCAGCAAGATATGGGTTGTCTACTTTCATAACTTTACTTATTTTAATCTAAAAATAATAAAAACAGTATCAGCAATCTGGCATTTTGCAGCGATCGCGGATGTCGAGGAGAAGTTCCCACGCGGGTGACAATGAGGATGTCTCCTCGGCTGTGAGAGATATTCAATATTTTGATTTGATAGTGGTTTAGTGGCTGTGCAAGATATTCAAAATTTTATGTAAAATAGAGTTAGATGCCTTTGTCTTTGTTGCTGTGTATGGTCAGCTAAGTGATCAAGGACAGATATGGGTCCAGTCCAGAGTTTCAAACTACAAAAATGCTACCTGCTGAGTTTTTCTTTAAATCAATCTGGCAACCTTTTGATCACCGATCACGCAAACACTAATCCCTGGACTAGCCAGCAATTTAGGTACTTTTTCAATTTATTTCCGAACTTTTTATAAAGCTTGTAGGATTATAAAAACTAATAATATTAGTATTTATGAAAGTGTTGTTCGCTTAATATAGTTACAAAGAAAACATACTTAAAAAACGTACGTTTAAAATTCTATCCTTATTCTTATGAAGAATAAGTTAACTGTTGGAGTTTACTTTCTAGTAGATGCATTTTGATCCCATTTGATGGATTTATTTACTTTATTAAAATGTCACTAACAAAAACCCACTTCATTACTTTCCCTGTAACAGCAAACCTAAGTACTCGCTAAGCCTATATTGTAATTAAAATAGTGACAAATATTACAAGTTTTAGGAAATGTTTGAATGAAAATTTAATCAGGTAAATGGAAATTGACTTAGTCTGCAGGTTTCTGCGGGGGAGGGGGGGGGAGGCGTATTAACTAGACAACATCATAAAGTTACTGTAAAGCATATACTGTATCTATATTAATTTATTTCTAGTTACCGTATACTATAGGGGTTTGATTTGGAATGTCAGATGTTTGATTATACTTACTCGGGGCAAGGATTCATGAATCAAGTTCCTTATTTTGGAACTATCCTCCCAAGAAGCATCACTCAACACATTTTTCTTCGGATCTTTTATCAGCTTGAAATTAGATGTCTGGAAGAAAATCCATATAAGAAACAAATTATCTTAAGTACCTATTTTCAAAATATTTAAACATAGTTACTCAATAACCTTGACATGGTAATTGTAAAGTAATTTTATATAAAACATGTTACAATGGCAACCATAACTTGGGCCAGTCATGCCGCGGGCATCATCAGGTCTAATAACTGAAAGAAACAAAATGACATCTAATTCCCAAATTTCCTATTTACTGTAGAATAAGCCATTACCATAGGTCTCCTGGGAAGACCTAGACCACGGATAAAGGAACCTCTTTATCTATGCATGCACCCAGGACCGATTTACTTTCCTTTTTTTAGGTCCACAGTGGCCAAAAACACCATTCAAATTCATTTTGATATATATGCGTGATAACTCAAGCAAACAAAAGTGATTCAATTTTGATGAAATTGAGTACAAACATGTAAACCTACGTTTATTAAAACAAGTTCACGAACCAGCATGATCGGACTATGGAAACAGGGTTTTATGGGGTAAAAATTAGTTATTCTCATTGTTGAGCCCTAAAAAACTATTTTTAATTTCTTTAGTCCATGTAAATAGGAATGATTGTAAAAACAATACAACAAACTCCTCCCTTTATTATGTCAAAGTTGAAGGGAAGCACTGACATGAGATATAGATAGTGATTACCTTGATGTAGTGAGCGATGCGCCGGCGAAGTTCGCCAACACTGCTTCTCCATCTGATCTTTTTCCGTTTGCAGCCTTCCCTCCCAAATTTATTTTTTGTTTTAAAAGTCTCCTTCGTATTTGTAGAAGTGGCTAAACTCAATAAAATAAAAGTGTTATTGTTAATTTAATTAAATGGAGGTTAGACAAAATTATTGACTGCAGATACAACTAGACACATTGGGGTAGCGGATTTTTATCCCCCTGGAATTTTACCCCCTGGGCAAAGGTGACGTCACAAACCAGAGGGTAAAATTCCGGCTGCGAACTTTTGAGTTTCGCAACATCAGCTCGATGGATTAAACGCGGAATTAAACATATATTTTCACGGTTGTGCATTTAATCAGAACACATCAAATTATAAAACCTAGAGTGTACGGCCCGGATTTTTACCCCTGGAGTTTTACCCCGGAATTGTACCCCCCGGACTTTTACCCCTGGATTTTTACTCCCGGAATTTTATCCCCCAAATTTTTACCCCTGGAATTTTACACCCTGGCCAGATATATAAATTAGTGAGAATGATTAATTATCTTCATTCTGTTTTAATTTAATAGTAAACATTTTATTATCTCACTTTATTTTTAACATCAACTAATCCAACAGGTTTTTTATTTCATTTTGACATTCGTATCAGGATTCAATCTTTGAAGCCAACTGTTTAATTAATATGACGTATAAACAAACATCAGAATGGTAATTGATTTGAAGATTTCTTTAACGATTTATTATACAACCGTGGTAAAACAATGTTTTTCGTTTGTATTGTAACAATAACAAAATATGCCTTATTGTTTCTTTACGAAGAAATGTTCACTCAATTATCATTTAAATGAGCTACTCAGTTTATTTTACATACTTATTAACCAACAGTTGGCCCCAAACGCAAATCCCGAACATCAAAATTTAACAGCAAATTCTGTTTACTTGGTTGAGATTACAAAATAAAAAAATAAAGATAGGCTACTAAATAATGCAATGTTTACAATTAATGAAAAACAGAAATAAGAAAAATCAATCATTCAATTTCTAAAATCGGGGTAAAATTCCAGGGGGTAAAAATCCGGCCCGTACATCTTCAGTTGTCTAAACGCTAGTTATATGGACAGGGGGTAAAATTCCGGTTTTTATCGCTAATCTAATTAATCACGCTCTGGCTATTTTCATTAGACTTCCAAATCCACAGGGGTAAAATTCCGGCCACAAAAAAACTTTTGGACACTCAGGTTACTACGTCATAGTGACGTCAGCTTCGCCCAGGGGGTAAAATTACAGGGGGATAAAATTCTGGCGACCCGACACATTTACATTTCCATGTTGATGTTGAGATATTAGTAGAGCTCTAAGACAGAGTGTGGTGGTGTCGATCTCTGATTTCTTTTGCACAGCAATATATAAAAATCAACAGCACCAACAAACTGACACATAATTTTTCCCATTAGCTTGTCAAACTCCAATAATTTTTACTTATATATTTTTATTTTTATTTTATTTTTATGAATAATTAGAAACCTGCATCACTTTGTCACCTCAAAATCAATGATTATTTCTCATCATATCCCTATTATTTGCATTGCGAGCCCTATTATTTTAATTGTGCGCACGATCTCTTTGAGGTATCTTAGAAAAACTACAAATACTAATGCATCATAATGTGAATAAAAACACTAAATCTAGTGTTAAGTCATTTTCTTTTTACATTTTAAAAGATAACATTACAGTTTACTTGGATTCCATAAAACATCAATAAAACATACTATGAAAACACAAAATCCTGTCACAACATACATAGTCCAGTGCAATTAGGTTATGACCCGGACAAAATTGATAACAGGCTGAAAATTGGTGGAAATGTTCAACACAATGTCCTGAGTGGCCCACACAAAGTCCCAAGAAATCCCAGTTGGGGAACGGCCGCCATCTTGAAAAAACTGCTGCCATCTTGGAAATATAGATTTACTGCTGTATCTTTTGAAGTAATTGTCCGAAAGGCCTTATTTATGTCTCAAATTAAACGTTTTGGACTCATGTATGAGGGTAATATACAATTAAAGAGTTTATTATGTTCTAAGCATACATTTTATTTATATTAACCTAAAAAATATCTATAATAATGATAAATATACAGTTATGCCCCCCCTTTTATACGAATTGTGGATATTTATAGGTATGCACGGTCGATGCGATGCTCCCTGGTTTGGATAAACTATAAAATGATGTGCCACTTGACATACGTTGCTATTTGAAAATTTTGAACAATGGGTATACCAAACTTTAAAAAATATTTTTTTTTTAATTTTTATCATTTCAAAAAACCGTTACTTGTAGCATATCAAAGTAAAGCTTATTTCATAACGAGTAAGAAAATTCAACCTGAATGCATTGGTATAGGAAACACAGAGTATTAAAAAAATATCGATTTAAAAAAAAATTCCGCCATTTTGAAACGGAAAAAGATAATTCATTTCTGCTTTCGCCAAAATGTTTGTCTATCAAATACCTTTAAAATTATGTATAACATGATATATGTTTACATTTGGAAATTCCGAGATTCGAACTAGTGACACTCAGTTTTCGGCACACTCTGTATTGGCAAAAAGTTATAAATTCAGAAGAATTCAGAAAATAGGGCTTACCTCTGAGTATAACTCAAAATCCGGATTTTTAAAATAAACTTACAGTATGTACAATGGAGTGCAAACCAAACTAACACAATAAACTGTTTTCTTTTCGTACGATTATTTTATGTAACATTAAACCAACCATATCCTTGGCCGCAATTAACCTGTTTATACTCGGGCCGCAACTCGTACAAAACTTTTTTCAGTCTGGGCCGCAACTCATACGCAAAATGAGGTTTGGGCCGAAACTCACCAACAGAGTTAACGTCCGCACTAGTAAGTACTACGACTATCCGCAGTACTATCCTGATAGTTAGACCAATTCGTTAATTAGAAGGAAAAAATGTGGTTCGGATTCCACTATAAACTGTAGGTCCCCTAGTAGCCATTAGCTGTATGGGCTATTATTTAACATCTGTATCTAAGGAACATGTCGGCCTTAGTCACTAGCAAGACTACAAGATCGCGCCACTCATCCTACACTCATTCTTCACTCATATTTTGATAAAATATGCACATAGTGGCGTCCCCATCTTAAATAATTGATATAAATATACAATATATTTACAAAATAAGCTTTTTCTCTTTTTTTAATGGACTTGTTTAAGCCATTAACCCTATTGAAATTTCTTGCAGCCCACATTCCTTAGTCTTTGGAATTGGTTAAATATAAAATAAATATATTATCCATTTAATGACGGAGCTTGCGTTCAGTATGTTTTCGACAACGCGGATTACAACGTTAAAACACTTGATGGACATGGAACTCTTCACGCCATGGGTGGCATTGAGTGCATAACACCAGCCGAAATGTGTCAATGCAAATGCTCCTGTACCACGATCTACAATCCCAAAAGCAAAAAGTTTCCTTCCATCTCATGGCTTTCAGCCATAGTGACACATTATACCAACGTCCGCCTAAGCCTAGGACATCATAAGTAGTGTTGGGAGATGTCAGTACTGCCCTTTCCGAACCAAAAATAGTTGTAGATGCTTGTCTTGCTGACACCCTATGGCTCATTAACCACCAACTGAGTGACAAAGCAAGTCCAGGTTGGAATGGATTCATGGATACAGTACAACGACCCTTATTGTCTTAATTGCACCACGATGTATGGATACTGAACTGGACACGTGGGTGTTAACCGCGCTAGTTACAACGAAGATTACATCACCGACAATAACATTTAACATCAAGTAGTTACATTATAAGTTTATATGCAATATTAAAATATAATGGTAATCAATTAGAGCAACGATATATAGGTGATTATATTTTTCATATCGGAACAAACAAAATTATGAATTGATTTTTATAATTTATTTTGTACTTCATTGTTAAATTGTTGCTTTCCTAGTCAAGATTATATTTCCTGTTACCGATGTTGCTCTGCTCCTGCCATAGATTTAAGTTAGTTAAGTTTTCTGTTAAAATGCATGTTGTTACCACTTAGGCTTCTTGAATCCACATTGAAAATTGGTGATCTTGCCGTTGGAATAAATAAATAACAAATTACAGAATTTAGGTGAATAAAAAGTCAACACCCCCCTCTCTAATATTTTTCTAAGTGAATATACAAAGATGTCCTTTTGGTGGTGGTCAAATTTTAGCAGAAAGTTTCATTTTATGATTTTGAAATTGTTAAATGTTCCCCAAAAAGGGGGCATTTTGGGGGCAACTCAAATATTTTAAACGTAAACCCCTTTCAAGTGACATCTCATTTCAAATTGTTTACAAAAAGGGGTTTTTGGGGGACACTCAAAAATTTTAAAATCATAAAATGAAACTACCTACTAAGATTGAAAAACCACCAAAAGGATATATCTGTATACTTAGAAAAATATTAGAGGGGGGGGGGGTTCTTGACTTTTTATTCACCCCGTATTTAACCAATTCCAACGACTAAGCATAGTAGGTTGCAATAAATGTCAAAAGGGTTAATGGCTTTAACGAGTTCATTAAGAACAAAAGAGAAAAAGCTTCATTTTGTAAATATTTTGTAAATTTATATCATTATTATATATATATGTATATTTTTAGGTTAATATAAATAATATTCACGCTTAACGTATTAAACTCTTTAATACCCTCATACATGAGTTCAAAACGCTTAATTTGAGACATAAATAATGCCTTTCGGACAGTTACTTCAAAAGATACAGCAAAAAATCTAAATTTCCAAGATGGCCGCAGTTTTTCCAAGATGGCGGCCGTTCCCCAACTGGGATTTCTTGGGACTTTGTGTGGGCGACCCAGGACATTGTTCTGAACGTTTCCACCAATTTTCAGCCTGTTATCAATTTTGTCCGGGTCAAAGTCATTTTTTGTCTAATTGCACTGGACTAACAATATCTTCTAACATAAGTCATTTTCTTCTTTCACTGAAACATCAACAACTACAAGTAACCCCATTTTCGTATGGATGTAAAAAAATTGTATCTTGGCTATATGT